GGCGACTGGAGGTGCAAGCCTCCGGCTGCCGGGTCCGTTTCCACCCCCCCCACTCCAGGACCGGAGACAGGAGGCAGAAGCCTCCGGTCGCCCACTCCCTTCCCCTTCCCCCCCACCCACTCCCAACAGGCACTGAGGGGAATGTAGGGTTGCCAGCTCTAAGGAGGGAAATACCTGGAGGTTTGGGGGGTGGATTCTGTAGAGGGCAGCATTGGGCGGGGGGGGGGGGCGGAAGGACTCAGCAGGTATTATGTCATAGGGTCTACCCTCCTAAAGCAGTCATTTTCTCTAGGGGAACTGATCTCTGTCATCTGGAGATCAATTGTAGCAGTGGGAGATCTCCAGGTCCCACCTGGAGATTGGCAACCCTAGGGGAAAGTCAGCTGCACAGCAGGGGGTTGAAGAGAATGGTTTGATGGCTGCTGGGCCAAGATTGGCAACAATAGTTCCCCAGGAGCCCCATCGTAAATGCACCAAACAATTCCTCAAGTTTTTCCAAAACACTACTGTGGGAGAAATCAGAGTTTTATAATAGTGGTATTGTTATGTGTCAGGTTTTTTTTTTCCTTTTGGGTTTGAATAAGTGTGATAAATTAGGGTGATAAGACTGTAGTATTTAAGTGCTTTGTCTCTGGTCCTCAAGGTATTAATCTTATTTTTCAAATGTGTACTTATGAAAAGGTTCCGCTTTATGTTGCTCTCTAGACGTCGGACTTAGGCATTAGGTGTTCACTATTAAGGGGGAGAAAGACATATAAAGATAGGAGTGGAGATTTGTAGTAGGGTCTTAAGTTTAAAGCCTATGGAAGAAAATAAGGAAAAGAAAAATCTAAAAAAAATTGTAGATAGATGGTAACATACAGAAATGCTTTAATATTGTCTGGCAAGAGAGTAAGGTTGACAAGCAGAGAAGAGCGCTTTAATATACATAGACATTTCAAATTTAATGCTGTATTAATGGATGTATGTATTTACTAAGGTAGAGAGGAAAATTGGTTGAACAAAGAAAAAAAGAACAATGATTATTGGGGAGCTGTTGCTGTTCACTGTGGTTTATATACTATTTGAGGTGTTACTGAGATGGGATGAGTATGGAAAATTCTTATTGAGAAGTGCATTATTGTAAAAACCCAATAAAAATATTTATTAAAAAAAAGAGAAAAGGTCTGAGCCTGGACTGTAGCCGAGCATGCTTTGAGAAGGAACAAAATATTCCCATGTGGCAAGGATCGTTAGAGTCTCATTCCTAGCCTGTAAAAGAGATTTGTTTTCAAAAAACCCCCCCCCCAATCTTTGAAAGCTATCTATATCCCCAAGATGACAAGATCCACTGGGAGTTTTTTGAAGGTAATCTTCATGGCAGTGAAATCCTAAGGCCAGAAACTCTGGGGTGTGCTACTGACAGACACCACAGTGTAGCTAGTTAGTCTTCTATGCTGTCTTAGCAGAGGAAAATATATTTTTCTAAAACAGACCTAATGTCAAGGACCTAGGAGTGTCAGGTTCAAATCCCCACTCTGCCATTAGGGTTGCCTATCTGGCTGCCGGTGGAAGGACGCCTGATCCTTCCTGGATCTCTTCTGGCGTGTGTACGAATCATGCACACTACAATGACATCATCCAGAAGTGATGTTAGTGTGTTTCCAGTGTTGGGGGCAACACTCTAGGTTTTGGGGGAAATTCTGTGGGTTTTTTGGCCTCAGAACCATAGACTTTTGCCCCAAACCTAGAGCGTTGCCCCCAATGTCGCAAATGTGATGACGAGATTAAGTGCTGAGAGGGGGCTTCTCGGGGGTGGGGCTTCCCCCATTGGCCAGGTGGGCCATGGCAGATTGGGCCCCCTGAAATCTGTGGACCCCCTAGCCCCACTGGGGGAATGACAACCCTATCTGCCACGGACATTTGCAGGGTGACTAGTCAAACCCTTTCAGCCTAACCTACCTCACAGGTTTGTTGTGAGGGTAAAATGGAGGAGGAAACAAGCAAGCCACTCTGGGTCTGTGTTGGGGAGAAAGGTGGAGTAGAAATAATAAATGTTTTTAAATTATCTAGGCCCTCTGGGGGAGGCTGCCCCAAGTGGAAACCCATGAGCGTTACCAGGTAAGAGCTCTAGCCTCACTGGAGGAATGGCACCTGTGTGGAGATGGAGTGTTTTGCAAGAGAAAGAGAACAGAGACTAGTCCTGCAACTTCCCCTGACTTGCCTCTGGCGCTGCCCAAATTTGGTGCAGGAATTAGAATGGAGAGGCTCAGTTGCTATCCTAACCAGTTCCAGAATGGCCTTAGCACTGTATTGTCATTTGTGCTGTAGTGCCTGAAACAATTGTTGACCCCAAGGAAAACTATGACTTTGTAAATGAATGCCAGCCAGCCACAAGTTATGGGGGAATGTCTACTTCAGGGAGTGGATTTGGGCTCACTCTCCCTCTTTCAGGGCCTCAACTCACTTGGCCTTGATGCCTCTGATAAGGGTGCCCTCCAGAAACAGCAGTGCCGAGCAGGTGAGGGGTTCACGACTTGAGGCGGCTCTGTGCTGATGCGAAAGAAGTTCTGCTTTGCAGGGCTGTAGAGTGGCCATTTTTTCTCCCCGACATCTGAAGGGGTGGGATTGCTGCACAGGAGGGAAAAATATTGTGATCCACAAAGTCTGAGAAGCCACTAGTTCTGTGTAAGGTACACAATATATGACATCTGGTTATGTATTTATTCATTTACTAACTTCATCTGTCTCACTGAGACTCATTATTATTATTATTATTATTATTATTATTATTATTATTATTATTATTATTATTATTATTAATTAGATTTCTGAATCGCCCAACCCCGCAAGTGGGCTCTGGGCAATTTACAGCATTAAAACAGGTAAGATACAACCAGCTTGATAAAATTATTACAGTGCACTAATAAAACAATACAATCAGTAAAACAGATACCTTGGTAAGGTCCCCGTAAAATATTCCATTCCCATTTGTAATTAGAATACTGACACGTGAAACTTGACTTGAATACTGACCTAGCATTAATTAGATCTGGAAAAGCTTTCATCACTGGCAACACATTTTAAAAATGGAATGGTAAACATCCATAAATAAACAGCTCTCTTACCCGTTTCTGGCAAACTCCGCCCAGTATCGCATCACTCGGGGGATTAGCTTTAACTCTGCCTCTGTGTGAGTTACATTGGTTCCCGGTAATAAGGTCAGAGTTCCAAAAAGGTATGGGAGTTCAGATCCATGGTTTGACCCCATCCATTCAGGCCAGGCGGAGCCAATGCTGCGATGGGTGAAAGTGTAAGCATAGACAGGGCTTCCAGTTTTTGCCGTCTCTGCGGCGATTTTGTTTGCTGGACATACAAAGAGGTAATCACCCCAGGCCTGGGACAAGGCAGAACGATAGCGTGCTGGGCCCTCTGGTTCTGCTTCGGTGTACTTCAGAGCAATGGACTGGATGAAGTCTTGTGTTGCATTGCGTATACTTATGTTCAACCCCAACAAGAGCTGTTCCCAGGTCAAAAGACTTTCGTTAGATGTATGTAAGTAAGGAGCAGCATAGTAGATAAAGACGGACCCTTCGTCAGAGGTGGTACCAATCATAATGGGCTTAGACTGAAAGCACCTGGACTCCACAAGTTTCTGAGGGTCATCAGGAAGAAAATCTCCATCTGTTGTTGGTACGAATGGAAGGTTCAGAACGGTCTTGGGATCCACAACAAGCAAAGTGGGTATTGGAAATTCTTCCGCTTTCTTTTGCTGCAAGCAACTTACTATGGCACCGTCCTCACCTTCTGTACATCCCATAAGCTTGGCGAGGGCCAAGGCTCTCCTCTTTGCCTCCTCAGGACTCACCCAGGCCCAGGGTGCAATGGCCGTTCCACTCTGCACCACAGCACGGTCAAATAGAGACTGACTCCCTGGTGAGAGGAGGTGATAGCTGACAGACACTCCTCCAGTACTTTCGCCAAAAATGGTTATCCGAGTAGGGTCTCCTTTGAAAGCAGCTGCATTCTCCTTCACCCATTTTAGGGCCAACTGCTGGTCAAACAAGCCCACATTTGCTGGGGCAGCTGGTGGCAATGAAAAGAAGCCTAGAGATCCCAGGCGGTAATTCATAGAGACCACAACAACATTCTCGGTCGCAGCTAAGAATGCCCCATCATATATGACCAAGGAAGCTGTGCCAACAAAAAACCCACCACCATGGATCCAGACAAGGACAGCAGCTGGTGTGGAGGGCAGGGGATGGGGCACCCAGACATTGAGGAAGAGACAGTCCTCCGAATGGGGAGTGTTGGCATTGAATATGGTGGCATCAGGAGTGCCCGAAATAACTACTTGGGGGCATGAATTGCCAAAGTTGGTGGCTTCCAGGATGTGGCTCCATGGCGTATGGGGAACAGGCTTCTGGAAACGCAATTTCCCCACAGGGGGTTCTGCATAGGGGATGCCCAGATAGGCTGTGATGTTTCTTGAGCCAGCTGGGAGATGCTTTCCCCGGACAGGGCCACTGCCGGTGACTACCACAGTCTCATCTTCAGCAGAAGACTTGGGTTCCAGAAGGGAAAGGACCAGGAAGCTCAACCAAAGGAGGAGACTAGTCATTGCAGCACCTGAAAGGGAAGCATTGCAGAAGAAGCTACAAAACAACCCCAAAACACACGGCTGGACATTTTCCCCATGCTAACCCTACTCTTGGTTCTGAGGGCCAGATATCTCATGACTTTGAGGAACGGGAAGGCCAGTATGAAAAGTACACTTGACTTGGTCAACATCCTAGGTGTTATGGATAGAATTTAATTTAGGTGATTTCTATGTCCCTCTGCAGAATCCTGCTCAAGAACCTATATGTATTGGACATCCAGACCCTCTCAGTCGCAGGAAAGAATACCAGGAGGTGCATGGAAGCACCAAAGTGTTGTTCAGAAGCAAGCAAACAACCAAGTACTAAGTCCCTTGCAAGACAGTTTTCACTTCAGTCAGCATCACATTTAAATCAGGACTTAGGACTGGTGTGTGTGTATTCAGGAGCTGCGGTGGCTCAAGTGGTTAAGACGCTGAACTGCAGGCTGTGGAAGGTCGGTAGTTCAGCAGTTCGAGACCCGGGTGCCGCAAGACGGAGTGCGCTCCCGTCTCTAGTTCCAGCTCCTGCCAACCTAGCAGTTCGAAAGCAAGAAATTGCAAGTAGATAAATAGGTACCGCTTCAGTGGGAAGGTAACAGCATTCTGTGCGCCTTGGTGTTTAGTCATGCTGGCCACATGACCACGGAAACGTCTTCGGACAGCGCTGGCTCTTCGGCTTTGAAACGGAGATGAGCACCGCATCCCTAGAGTCGGATTCGACTGGCTTTCGAGCAAGGGAAACCTTTACCTTTATGTGTATTAAGCACTATGAAGTTGCTTCCGACTTATGGCAACCCTATGAACTAATGACCCCCAGAACACCCTATTGTTAAAAGTTTTGGTCGGGTCTTGCAAACTGAGGGCTGTGGATTCCTTAATTGAGTCATTCCATCTCAGGTAGGGCCTTCTTCTTTTCCTATTGCTTTGCACTTTTCCTAGCATTGTTGTCTTTTCCAGTGACTCTTGGCTTTTCATAATGTGACCAAAGTATGATAGCCTGGTCTTGTCTGTACATCCCATAGAATGGAGAGGTAGAATCCAGAGGGGCTTAGAATAACTGGAGCACTTCTGAATCTAAATGTGGGATTCTAGTTTTATTCATTTACTCTATATCACATGTGAAATGTGCAGAGTTCTTAGAGTGATTGAAAATTAATTCTCCCACTGCACCAATTGTCTCTAGGTGGTAGTTGCTAACCAGGATGCTACGGGAATCAATGTCCATGAGTGAAAGAACAAATTTTGAGTTCAAGGCACGAGCTTTCATGTGCAGGCACACTTCCTCAGATACATAGAAATAGAAGTTTACGTTTCACATATACAGGCAGATGCCTCTACACAGATGATGAACAGCAAATTAGCATACAACTTATGGAAGATGTTTTGACATATGCAAAGACTAAATAGCAATAACAAGCTAATAATAATAATAGTAATAATAACCTTGTTATTGAATGCTAATTTGCTGTTCATCGATGTAGAGGCATCAGCCTATATATATGAAATGTTAACTTCCATTTCTGTGTATCTGAAGAAGTGTGCTTGCATGCGAAAGCTCATACTTTAAATAAAATTTTGTTGATCTTAAAAGTGCCACTGGACTCAGACTTTGTTCTACTGCTTCAGACCAACATGGCTGCCCCCCTGGAGCTGTCTTCATGAGTGAAAGAGTCATCAAATCAGCAGAGAGAACAAGTCTACTTGCTTGGAGCAGAGCCTGCTGGGATTTTTAGTCTCCCTGACAAGAATCTCTCCCCACTTCTCTTTCCTATCACCCAATGCAAATACTCCCTTGAGACAGCAGACTCACGTTTTTCTTGCCTCCTCCTCCTTCAGCAATGTTTTCTGTTCAGCTCTCTGCGTTATCAGTTTGCTTCTCTGTAACATGTGGAAGGGGCAAGAAACTGGCATTATTTATCTCGAATGAAATTACTCAACAGGCTTTGCCAATCACAGTGGGAGGAGCCTTCATAAGGTACACTAGCTGTAATATTCCTGTGAAGAGACAACGGAAACACATTTTCATGGGTAACGGGTCAGAGGGGGAAGGGTGGGGACAGAGAGTTCCTGGAAGGCCCAGAAACAGTATTGCCAAACATGAGAGAAATCTTGTACATGAGAGGAAATAAAAGGTATCTGGATACTCTTTTCCACAAATAGAGAAGAATTTGGTGAGGGGCCACATTTAGCTTAGTGTACGAATACCTGCTTTGAATGCAGAAGGGTACAGGTTGAATCCCTACCATTTCCACTGGAAGCCTGTTTCACCACCCAGGGACCAAAGTCTTGAGACTCAAAATCCACTTGTTGGTTTGAGCCATCATGATGATGATGGTGATGATGATTAACTTCATTTATCATCCATCTTTCTCACTGAAACTCAAAGTGGATTACAAAATGTTATAAAAACACTTTAGTCAAACAGAAAAGATTTCAAACAACAAAAGAATGCCCTGAGGTCAGTACAGAAGAACTGGAAAACAATGCAAGCAATTTTTTGAAAAGAAAAATTGTCTCAAGGGAACAAAGCAGTCAACATTAGTTGCTGTAGATTTTCCGGGTTGTGTGGCCATGGTCTTGGCATTGTAGAACCTAACGTTTCGCCAGTAGTTGGGACTAGCATCCTCAGAGGTTTCTGTGTTCTTTCTGTGTTATAAGTTCTTTCTGTGTTATACCTCTGAGGATGCCAGTCACAGCTACTGGCGAAATGTCAGGTTCTACAATGCCAAGACCACGGCCACTGGCCATGAAAGTCTTCGACAACATAAAGCAGTCAACACATGCAAAGATCTTTCTGAAGTTACACGTGCCATACTAAAGAGATGGTTATAAAGGAAAAAAGACATTCAGTTTCAGAAAAAAGAGGTGGTTGTGGTGATATGCACAATAAACACTGCAACATCCTATATTACTATCCAGTAAAGTCAAAGTCAAATACCTTTAATGGCATTGCAGTAAGATACATATATGTACAATAACACGACATGGATATATAAGACATTATAAGCAATATGAATCAATCCTTTACTAGAATAGATCTATCTTTGTCTACTTCGGCAAGAAACTTGGTCACTATAGCTGTAATATTAGGATTAGCATCCTTCAGTAGATTTTGAATAACTTTTTCCCTATTAGAACTATAATTAGGAGGAAATAAAGATGACAACAATTCTTTGCGTAAGACTGAGTGAAGTCTTATATTGAGTCCACAGATTTTAAAGGACAAGAGCATAACTTTTCATGAAAGGGAATTTTCTTAAACCGACCTGAAAGCTCGTTTGAAGGGAACACATTTAGTTGGGCTAGTGTAAAGGCTCTACAGTATAGAAGCAACCTCACATACTATAATACTATCCGTCATAGAAGAATCTAGAAACAACTTTTACACCAAGATACCAAAATGGGTTGCTCCATTAGAAGCCTTTACAAACCCTAACTTATTTCAGGAAGAAACAATCCTAAGATATGAGGACTTACTAGATAGTAGAAACGAACTAAAACCAATAGAAACTTTAACATGGTGGCAAAAAACACAAATTGTATCAAGATATAGCAAAGACAAACTGACAGGTTTTTATGAAAAAACAACAGAAATAGATAAGATATTGACATATGCTGATGAGAAACTCATTAAGAAAATTTATGTATTACTTTTAGATAAACTTTTAGACTTTTACTTTTAGACTTTTAGACCCAAGATGAAGTGGTCAAAAAATGTTATGATAAAGTGGGCACAAAGCTTGTATCATCATATGAAGCTGAACCAGTGGTCACAGGTGTGGAAAAAATGTAAAAATTACTAAAGCAATTTCATATAAGGAAAATATTTATAAAATGTTTTATAGATGGCATACTACGCCTGATAAACTGGCAAAGATTTATCCCAATTGTGCAAATGTATGTTGGAAGTGTCAAAATAATGTTGGATCTTTTTACCATATGGGGTGGTTATGTCATAAGAAAAAAATATTGGGTTTGGATTCATGAAATTTTACAAAAAATGTTAAAATGTTCTGTATCCTTTGTTCCAGAAATATTTTTGTTGAATATCTTACCTGAAAACTGTAAAAAATATGACTCTTATCTTATACTACATGTGACTACAACTGCTAGAATACTTTATGCTAAATATTGGAGAAGAACAGAAACACCCTTGAGAGAAGAAATTTTAAGTAAAATTTTGGAAACGGCGGAGATGGACAAATTAACTTTAACTTTGAAAGGACAACCAGAATCGATTTGATAATGCATGGTCAAGATTGTATAAGTGGTTTGAAGACTATAATAAATAAACCATACAGACAATTAAAACTTTCTAAGGATCAAAATAAGACTTTTTTTATCATGGTGCAGAATGATCCCAACAAGCCCAAATTCACACCACAAAGAAAATGTTTAGGATTGCTTGCTCAGAAAAGGGAAAACTTATAATTGAGCAAGAACAGCCTAACAACTACAGAAAAGCAGAACATACAGTGAGTGATATATTGTGATTCTTTTTAGGGTTAGCAAGTAACAGCAAAACAACTGTGAGCTGAAATACCTGCAAGTATAAATGTACAAAAAGATACTTCAATAAAGTGAAAAGCAGCATATAATAAGCGATATCAGTAACAAATATTACGTTAATTTTTTAGTTAACTAAAACTCTAAAAATTAAAATACCATTACTACCAGAGATATTTCTTTTGAATATGATCCCAGATGTAATAAAAAAACATAAACAAATAATTATATATATATTAACCGTGGCAAGAATTTTGATTGCAAAAAGGTGGAAATCAAAAAATCTACCCTCAATAAAAGAATTAAAATATAAGATTCTGGAAGTAGCGGAAATGGATAGAGTAAATATGGAATCAAAATATAGACCGGAAGAAAAGTACTGGGAAAAATGGGGAGTAATATATAACTGGCTTAAGATAAAGAAGATAGAAACCAATGGGAGTTAAGCTAGCAATAGTAGGGAATAGCTTAAGATAACAGCGTAAGCACTATTTAACATAAAATTTAAACTAGATGTGATGAGAAGTATACCTTGTTTGATATTATTATGTTGTTGGAGATTGTTAATGAGACATATGTCTTGTTTGATATTATTATGTTTAATGGAGATTGTTAATGTGGTGTAAAAATACTGTATAGAAAATCCAAAAAATACATTTATTAAAAAAAAGTAACAAATATAACATATGGGAATTCAAAATCCACAAAATCCATGAAGAGAAATAGTCAAGTCCAGAGAAGATATCCAACACTTTTCCTAGGTAGTTTATAGTGTTTCAGACTTTCCTAGGTAGTTTATAGTGTTTGGTGAGTAACTCTTCCATGTGACACTTTGGCCGAGTTCAGACTGGCAGTTTGGCCCGGCAGCCAAACGTTTCAGGAGCGTTTCAGTAGTGGATTAAAGTGGCGGGTTCACACAGGCACATCTGTCAGGCGTCCCCCAGCTGTACTCAAGCTGTCTTGTGCAGCTTCCCTCCCGAGTTTAAAAAGTACCAGGTGAAAGTGGTAGCAAACCTTGTGTAGAGTGGGTTGATTCAGGTTCCCTGACGTGTGAACGCAAGCGCTGCTAAGGCGGGAACAACCCACAGTTGTTGATAATAGGCACTGACTGTTTTCGCGGCAGGCACCCATGTGCCCATGCGCATAGGCGCATGCAGTGGAGTGCAGAAACAGCCGCTAACAGCCCGCCAAGGGCGGGCCGACAGTGCGAATGCTCCCTTGCACTTCCTCCACGGTATCCTCCCGCTTAATTCGCTGCAGTGTGAACGGGAATACCGCGAACAAGCCGTTCCTGGTCTGTTCCGGGTCTTCCTTGCCACGACTCCCTAGCGCTTCAAATTGCCAGTCTGAACTTGGCCTTTGTATAGGGAAAGTGACACTGTCCACTGTCTTAAAAATTCATTATAATTTTATCATGTGATGACTCTATGGATTGGTTCTCAATAGGATTCTATATGAAATCATACGCAAATGGACTCAGATTATATGTGATAATCCTCATTAACTGATCCAACAAAATTAAAAAGACCTTAGTTAGCACTTTACTAGTGATTAAAAGACCAGAATTCTTCTTTCTTCAACTTCATTCATTGGCTGTCAAAGATAAAAGGCCCTGTTCTTTTCCTGACTGGCTGGTGAACTCTCTACAAAGGGTGTGAAAAGTACACAAGAACATTTATGTAGCATGTATATCATGACATCCTAACCCAGATGGCCCAGGGTAGCCTGATCTTTCAGATCTCAGAAGCTAAGCAGGGTTAGCCCTGATTAGTATTTGGATGGGAGACCCCCAAGGAAGTTCAGGGATTGCTACATGGAGGCAGGCAGTGGCAAACCACCCCTCAGCATCTCTAGCCATCAAAACCTCATGGGGTAGGCATAGGTTGGCTGCAAGTTGATGGTATTTTCCACCAGTTATCCTGTTGTTAAAGGCAAATCCTTGTTATGTACAAATGTTTAAAGTCCATCTTTCTCTAATAAGAAACTTGAGTTGGGCTACAATGTTATTTAAAACCATAACAAAACAGATGTAAAATTCTCCTAACAATATCACTTTTGGGTTAAATAACAAAGACTCATTTTTGAACCCAGATCCTCATGATCAGAACCAACGTTCCCCCTAAGCAGTGGAGTCTTGTGTGCAAAAATCCTATTTTGTGAGCTGCTGGCAGTAAAGCTGTGAGCGAGCGATTGGGCTGCGGCATAAATTAGTTTGCTCTGGAGCCCTCCTTCCTGAGCTAAGGCAAAAATGTGTGAGCCGGAGGCTAAAAAACTGTGAGCTAGCTCACACTAACTCAGCTTAGAGGGAACATTGATCAGAACACCAGAGAGCCCAAGTGCACATAAATCTCCATCTGAATACCATGGTTCTGCACAGCCTTCAAAACCCAACTACTTGTGTTGGGAGTGGTGTCTTCCTTACCTCCTCAGCGAGGCTGTTCTGCCACACAATTTTAACTGGGTCTTATGGGATAGTTTTAACTGGGTCTTATGGAATAACTTCCCAGGGGGAGGGACTGTGGCTCATCGGCAGAGCATCTGTTTGGCATGCAATGTTAGAACTGGAGGCCTTTACGCTCTGTCTTAGCCTCAGTCTTCAGAGGTGGTTTACCAAAGAGAGATATTGATAGGCAGAGTGACAGGACACAGAGCATCCTTCCTTTCTTCTCTACTACTATCCTTTTGAAGTGTAGATTGATACTCTTAGGGAAAGTTCCTTCCTTTGGGCTTGACACCTCTCTCTCTCACACACACTGATTGCCAGACTCTCCATCTTAGCACCATGAGCGTAGGACACATGTCTTGCATCTCTGGACACTCAGCTAGTTACATTAGATTAGACCTGCTATCTCTCTCTCTTCCTGTGTAGAAATGGAGTTCTTATAATAAAGCTCCCTATGAGTTTGAATTGGTAGAAGTCTCCACGTATCTTTTGTTTTCATATTTGCACACACGCAGCCCAGCTGACCACATGGCTTGTGCAGTGCTTACAGCCTAGTATCCTCTGCTAAGGTACGTGAATAAATTGGAGTAATTTCCCAATCTGCAGAAGGTCCCAGGTTCAATCCCCGGCATCTCCATTTAAAAAAGGATCAGGTAGGAGGTGATGTGAAGGACAGCCTGAGACCCTGGGGAGCCGCCACTGCTGCTCTGAGTAGACAATACTGACGAGGGACCCCATGTTCTGATCAGGGGTCGTTTCGTAGAAAAAGAGCTAGGGGAACTCATTAGCATAACTAATTAGCATATGCCACAACCCCTGACATCATAAGGCCCGGCGGTGGACCTGCAAGGCCGGCGGGAGTGCGAGGAAGCCCCACCAAGGCCCTCCCTGGCCCCAGGCAGGCAGGGGTGGGGAGAGGCGGGGAGGAAGCAACTTACCCTCCCTCTTCTCCTGCCTCCTCCTGGCTGAATGAGGGCCGGAAGCGGGGCGGCCGGAAGCAGGGGGCAGGGCTTCGTCGTGTGCCCCGCCCCCCACCCCTCACCTGGGGGAACTGTGATCCCCCGCGATCCCCCCGAATCGACCTCTGGTTCTGATTCAGTATAAGGCAGACTCATGTGTCCAATCTGCCTGTGCAACCATGAGAAACTGAGACAGTCAATAAGAAAGAATGATAAGTATGAGGCTGTGCTTAGGGTAACCAACCTCAAGGTGGGGTCTGGACCTCTCCTGGAATTACAACTGATCTTCAGACTATAGAGATCAGATTCTGGACTCTATCACATTAGATTCCTGATGAGCTGACTCCCTACCCCAGACTCCACCTCCTAAATCTACAGGAATTTCACAAGTTGGAGATGGCAATCCTAGCTGTGCTAAAATGCCCGCTGACATAATTTAAAATAGACAAACTGGGACTCTATTCCAGGATTAAACCGTGGTTAGCCCCAGTTCACTGAAACAGATTTAAATGTCACAACACAGAGTGATTAAATCTATGGATTTCCTCAGCCAGGAAGTCCTCACTCTCAGTTCCCCCAGCTTCTTCTCAAGAAGATCCAGGGTGTGTTGACAGACCTGCACTGCCTTTACATAAAATCAAAGGCAAGCTGTGCATGAAAGAAAGGGACATTAAAGCAGAAGGAGAGCTCAGGAGAGTCAGTTAATTTAGTCAAATGAATGTAGATTTGATTGTGCCCGTGAAGAAGGTGAGAGGAAACTGGTTATTGGATTTTATGTTTTACAATCAGTTAACAGAAATGACTACAAATCCATTTTGAATTAAAAGAAAGAATGAAGGTATAAACTGATGTTTCTTCTGTTGTCCATTGGTCCTTTAGACTTCTTCCTTCCAGTTCATATGATCCTCTTTCTCCATCGATATGTACTTTTCTTAATTCACTGTTCTTGCTTCTTATTGTCTTTTGGAGGCTGATCTGTGGAAGGAAAGAAAGCCCAGAAAATGAACCTCACACTGAATTAGACCAGATAACGTGGAAACAAATCATGAGGAAAGGCTGAGGGACTTGGGAATGTTTAGTCTGGAGAAGAGGAGGTTGGGGGGGGGGACATGATTGCTCTCTTGATTTATCTGAAAGGCTATTGCTTAGATGAGGACAGGGAGGTGTTCCTGTTGGCAGCAGAGGATAGGACGTGCAATAATGGGTTTAAATTAGGGGTGGGAAGGTACTGGCTGGATAGTAGGGAAAAAGAAGAAAAAAGGGGAAAAAAATTGAACCTAAACCTAGAATTCAGAACCTAAAAAGGTTAGTCAAGAATAGAAAAGGGCCAACTCTAAAAATCTAATTATAAAACATACAAAAATATACATGTATTTATTCAACATAAATTAAAATAAACAAGGGCCCATTCATACCTCATATACAAATATAAAAAAATACAAGGGCTAATAAGATAGACCTAACGCGTTTCGGCCTTTACAGGCCTTCCTCAGAGGTCTAATACAGACAGATTGGCTGATATGCAAAAATACATACAATCCTACATATACAAAATATGGAATAAAGACCAGAAACCAATTGTTCCAAAGTTTAACCACTGGGCAAGGAAAAGAAATATAAAAATACAAAAGAAGCCTCCAGTATAATCACATGTCCAGTAGTTCTACTCTCTGGTCAACTATATATTCTTCTGAGATTGTACAGCCAAATGTTCCCAATAAAATGTTCCTTAGGTTAAAAGCACCGAAACTAGGATTGCCAGGACCCCTCTGATCACTGGTGAGGGACGGGGGTGTAAGATTATCAAATCCAGGTATGGACACTCGTGGAGATTGGGGGATGGCGCCTGGGGAGGACAGGGATGTCAGTGGGGTACAATGCCATTGCCTCCATTCTCAAAAGCATCCATTATCTCCAAGGGAATGGATCCCTGTAGTCTGGAGGTGAGCTGTAATTCCAGGGGATCTCCAGGTCCCACCTGGAGGCTGGCACCCCTTACCCAAACTGAGATTGTTACTTCTACACTGTAACCTTAGTCAAGAGGAGGCACTAGATTTGCACATTTATTTGAAATATTTATATACCTTTCCTGTGAAGACCTTGGGTCCCAAACTGGTAACAGCAGTATAACAACAGTTTGATAAACATTAAGACAGCATTTATAAAAAGTCTAAAGGCACCTTATGCCTCCCCATCAACAGGGTGTTCTCCCTTTGCCCAGGTTCTGGCTGCCCCTCAGACCGCTCTGAAATAGCCTCCTGTGGAGAAAGCCAGGAAGGCAGGAGCTGGAAGGCTGTCCCAGAGGCAGCTACTGAAAAGGTCTGAGCCTGGACTATAGCCGACCCGAGCATGGTTTCAGAGGGAACGAAACATTGCCGCACTGCAAGGACTGTTAGATTCTCATTCCTAGCCTGTAAAAGATATTTGTTTTCATCCTCCATCTTTGAAAGCTGTCTATGTCCCCAAGATGACTAGAGCCACTGGGAATTTTCTGAAGCTAATCTCCATGGCAGTGAAATCCTAGTGTCAGGCACTCCAGGGTGATCTACTGACAGACACCACAGTGTATCTAGTTAGTCTTCTAAGTTGTTTCAGCAGAGGAATGTATATATTTTTTTCTAAAACAGACCTAACCCTAAAGACCTAGGAGTCTCAGGCAGTGTTCCCTCTAAGCTGAGTTAGTGTGACCTGTTGTAGTGTTTATTGTGTGCATCAGGTTCAAATCCCCACTCTGCCAGAGAAGCTTGCATGGCAACCTTGGGCTAGTCACACACTTTCAGCCTAACCTACATCACAGGTCTGTTGTGAGGGTAAACTGGAGGAGAAAACAAATTAAGCCATTTTGGGTCTCTGTTGGGGAGACAGTGGAGTAGAATAATAAATCTTTAAAAATCATCTAGGTCCCCTGAGGGAGGCTGCCACAAGTGGAAACCCATGAGCTTTACCAAATAAGAGCTCTAGCCTTACTAGGGGAATGGTGCTTGTGTGGAGATGGAGCCTCAACTCACTTGATAAGAATGGCTCCCACAAACTGCAGTGCTGGGCGGGTGAGGGCTTCATAACTTGAGGTGGCTCTGTGCCGATGCGAAAGAAGTTCTGCTCTGCAGGGTTGTAGAGCGGCCATTTTGTCCCACCGTCATCTGAAGGGGTGGGATTGCTGCACAGGAGGCAAAAATATCATGATTCACAAAGTCAGAGGTCTGTGTACACAATATATGTTGTCTGGTCATGTATTGATTCATTTACTCTCTCTCTCTCTCTCTCTCTTTTAAATAAATTTTTCATTGGTTTTCTTCCTACACACTACAAACCTATAACCTACAAATCTAAAACTACATAGAGAGTAACAAGAACCTTTAATAAGCTAATCAAACACTTTAGATATCTGTCTACATGTTAAAAATTACATTCTGATCTTTATACTCTAGTAAAAGTGATCAAATAGAAAGAACATAAAATACCACGATCCACAAAGTCAGAGGTCTGTGTACACAATATATGTTGTCTGGTCATGTATTTATTCATTTACTAACTTCACCTGTTTCACTGAGACTCAAGATGGATTACAGTGTTAAAAACAATACAATCAGTAAAATACATACCTTGGTAAGTCCCTGCAAAATATTCCATTCACATTTGTAATTTGTAAATAGAGTACTGATTTAACATGAATTAGAGCTGGAAAAGCTGTAATCCCTGTCAACATGTATCTAAAAGCCAGGTCCTTGTCAATGGCCCCATAAACAAATGTGGCTGCCATTTTAAGATCCTCCACATAGAAGTGGTGACTTGAGTGATCCTGACTTCTGAAATTAGGCAGGCAACGACCAGAGCAAAGGCCTTTTCTGTGGGGAAGACCCAGTTGTGGAATATCCTCCCCAGAGATACGTGCCAGATACCTGCTCCTGTATTTTCTGCCATGTTCAGACAACTTTATTTCCCCCAAGCTTTTAATGACAAACTTGCTTTTTGCTGCACCTGTAATTTTTTGGGGAAAAAACACCTTTCTGATTTATTGTTATTTCATTCTTCTTAGTAAATAATTGTTTTTAGGCTTTCCCTAGTGACCTTGGAAGTTTAATATCAAAAGGCAGAAGAGAAATATTATTGTCCACAAGAAGGGCATAAAAGTCAGCATGGTGGAATGGTTGGAGTGAGGTACCCAGGAAATCCATGTTCAGATCCTGATTCTGGCATGAAACTTGCTTGGGTGACCTTTGGGCCAGTCTCTCTCTCTCTCTGCCTACCTACCTCACAGGGCTGTTACAAGATTAAAACGGACAAGGGGAGAAAGCAGTACAGTGGCTAAAGTCCCTTGGAGGAAGAGTAGGATAAAAATGTACTAACTAATAATAAGAAAGGTCTATAGTTGTTATCCCAGGACTGTTCTACCAGAGATGGGCTGAGCTTGGAGCACAAGAACAATAGCCCACCAGAACTCTGGAAGTAACAAATCAAGAAGTAATGTTATATAAACTGCCTATCGTTGGGAGTGGGGTGTGTTTGGGTATAGCAATTGCATGCTATTTAAACAGGGCTGCGGCACTGGAGTTCAGGCTTGTTCTTGCTGTAATCACTAATAAAGTAGAGCTGATCACTAAACTTGGGGTCAGCTCATCCATGGAACCCACTATTGAACAAAAATAAACATATACATTGAACCAATGTTATTTCTAGCAAACAAGCTGAGGTTATTACTAGTCAACAAGCTGGCATTTCCTCTCACAGGTGACTGACACTGGCATGTATTTAGAGGAGATGCCAGTTCCCAACATGTTCTGTGACAGAGAAACCTTAGGGAAGTGCTACTTTCTGGGCCAGGGATGGTGAACATCCGTAAGTAAGCAGTTCTCTTACCCGCTTCGGGCAAACTCCGCCCAGTATCGCATCACTCGGGAGATTAGCTCTAACTCTGCCTCTGTGTGAGTTACATTGGTTCCTGGTAATAAGGTCAGAGTTCCAAAAACATATGGGACCTCAGATCCATGGTTGGACCCCATCCATTCAGGCCAGATGGAGCCATTGCTGCGATGGGTGAAAGTGTAAGCATAGACAGGGCTTCCAGTCTTTGCCATCTCTGAGGCAATTTTGTTAGCTGGACATACAAAGTGGTAATCACCCCAGGCCTGGGACAAGACGGAACGGTTCTGTGTTGGACCCTCTGGTTCAGCTTTGATGTACCTCAGAGCAATGGATTGGATGAAGTCTTCTGTGGCATTGCGTACTTTCATCTTCAGCCCCTCCAAGAGCTGCTCCCAGGTCAAAAATGTTTCGTTGAAAGCTTTTAAGTAAGGAAAAACAAAGAAGGTGAAGATGGACCCTTCGTCAGAGGTGGTACCAATCATGATAGGCTTAGACTGAAAGCGCCTGGACTCCACAAGTTTCTGTGGGTCATCAGGAAGGAAATCTCCATCTGTTGTTGGTACAGTGGGAAAGTTCACAGTGCTCTTGCGATCCTGAAGCAACAATGTTTGTATTGGATATTCTTCCACTTTCTTTTCCTGCAAGCAACTCACTATGGCCCTTTCCTCACCTTCTGTACAGCCCATCAGCTTGGCCAGGGCCAAGGCATTCCTCTTTGCCTCCTCAGGACTCACCCAAGCCCAGGGTGCAATGGCCGTTCCACTCTGCAGCACAGCACGGTCGAAAAGTGGCTGACTCCCTGGTGAGAGGAGGTGATAGTTGACAGACGCTCCTCCAGCACTTTCGCCAAAAATGGTTATCTGAGTAGGGTCTCCTCCAAAAACTGCTGCATTCTCCCTCATCCATTTTAGGGCCAACTGCTGGTCCAACAGGCCCATGTTTCCTGGGGCAGCTGGTGGTAAGGAAAGGAAGCCTAGAACTCCCAGACGGTAATTCATGGAGACCACAACAACATTCTCGGTCGCAGCTAAGAATGCCCCATCATATATGACCAGGGAAGCTGTGCCAACAAGAAAACCGCCACCATAGATCCAGACAAGGACAGCAGCTGGTGTGGAGGGCCGGGGATGGGGCACCCAGAGATTGAGGAAGAGACAGTCCTCCGAATGGGGTGTGTTGGCATTGAATATGGCGGCATCAGGAGTGCCCCAATCAACTATTTGGGGACATGAATTGCCAAAGGTGGTGGCTTCCAGGATGTGGCTCCCTGGCGTCTT